CCTGGCAGCAGTCCCAAGTGGGACGACGTCTCCTTAACTGACCTCTGAAATGGTCTATTGTCTGCTTCCCTCCCTGGCCTGGGTTGTAACTAACAAGCTGTCTGTAGGCTGGTTTGGAGTTAGCCTATTGATGGGTTGTTCTGGATGCAATTATCCTCTGCCTTACCTTTGAGTGTAAGGAATTTTTTCCTTTGTAGGGGTGAAAGTTGGACAGGGGAAATTCTTGACAAAGAACTATATTCAGGTTTCTCCCAAGGATAAAATAAAACACTATTTACTTTGATTGTTTCCCCCACCCCCAATGAAATTGGATGACATCAAGTTTGGTTTAGCATACAGTTGAGTTTTGGTTAATCAGAAGTACAAAGAGTTTCTTGGGGGCACTTCTCCCCTCCGAAAGAAGGCTGAGTTTCCTTATGCTGCTTCTTAAAGCTACTTCTTAAAGGAGAAAATGAAACATTTCTCCTTTTAGAGTCTTAAGGAGCTACAACTTTGTTTTTGCTATTACTAAAGAAAGTCATCTCCTGTTGAGAAAAGCTCTGTGTATCATGAGTTATCTTGGTTCTTTAAAGAGGAAAATGATTATATTAGAACCCTGCGTCTTCACCACTTGAAGAATAACATTATAGGTAAGATGCAATTGCTCTGGGAATAAGGTAGGAAAAGGCCAAGTATCTAATAAGAGGGCTTCACTTACAGTGCAACACTTGTTACCCCAAAGGCAAGGTCTGTTTTGAATACAGTTATAGTCATGACAAGTTATAAAGAAATGTATCTGATATTTATAGGAAGATTAACTCTGAGGAAATTATAGAATACTAGAGGCCGAGTGCACGAATTCGTGCACCTGTGGGGTCCCTCAGCCTGGCCTGTGCCCTCTTGCAATCCGAAGAGACAGGCAGCCAGAGAGGAGCCCAGGCCAGGTGCAGCGCCGCTCCCGTTCATCCTGGCCCCACTGCTCCTGCCAACACCGCTCTTGGTAGCATGCTGCAGCAGAGGCAAGAGAGGCTCGTGCCGCTGCAGCTGCGCACACCAGCTGTGAGCCTGGTGTCTGGCGCACCTCAGTCAGCTGAGCAATACTCCTGCTGTGGGAATGCACTGACCACCAGGGGTCAGTTCCTGCATTGAGTGTCTGCCCCCTGGTGGTCACTGTGCATCATAACAACAGGTCTAACGGTCATTCGGTTGCTTAGGCTTTTATATATATAGATATTATCACATCCAATTTCAAATGGTATTCATCTGCACCATGTAAATCGTTCCAAATTTTCTTTAACTTTCTAACCATGTAAACAAATCTCTTGGCCACCAAGAGATATGCTTTAGATTTGGAATCCCAATATAAATAAACTAATAATTAAATTGGAGAAAAGAGACACATCTCATACAGAAGAATTTCAAATAATTTATATGTCTACTATCCCCTCAAGAATGTGGAGTATAATTCCCTACCACTTAACTGTGGGCTATGCTTTTCGATTGAATAACAAAGAGTAGTGTATAAAAAGGGGAGAGGCAGAGTTATGGGACAGTGGAGAGACCTGGCAAACACTACCTTGGCCACTAGATACAGGTTAACATCAGCAATGAGGTCATGTTGACAGCATGTACCTTGGATATGATACGATCTCATTGAAGGGCAGTTCACCTTTGTAATATTTGCCCCAAAACCCATAAGCATAGTCTAACCATGTGAAAACATTAGATAAATCACAGTTGAGGGACATTCTACAAAATATCTGACAAGACTCCACGAACTGTTACGGTCACTAAAAATAATAATAATAATACATAAATAAAAGTCTGAGATTGTCATAGACAAAAGGAGCCTAAGAAAGACTAAGTATAATGTATTATTCCAGATAGGATGCTGGAAGAAAAAAAGGACACTAGGAGAAAAGTGTGAAATTGGAACGAGGGTGGATTTTAGTTAATAGTAATGTCCCAATGTTAGTTCCTTAGTTGTAGCAAATAGGAGAAACTAGATGAGAGTTATTCAAGAATGCTGCACTATTTTTGTAATTTTTCTGTAATATAAAATTATTCTAATACAATTTTATTTAAATTAAAAAATGATGATTAACATTGAGATATCAAGTTTAACAGAGCCCTATGCTTTAATCAATACATCCTTCTTTTTCACCCACACCTATCCACCAAACCAGTGGTCAGCAAACTGCGGCTCGCGAGCCACATGTGGCTCGCGAGCCGCAGTTTGCCGACCACTGCACCAAACCATATGGCATCAAGAGTCATTTCCCTGACACATAGGAATACTTTACCTTTCAGGACCCTATAGTATGAATGGAGTCAGACCAATTCTGAGAGTTTTAGATTTCCCAATAATATTTAGGTCATGGCCTTAGTAATATGACACAGTACTCAAAAGATAATGTCCACAAGCCTGTATTTCTCAATAGCTTTAAAAGATGTTACATCCTTCCGCCATCTATCCAATACACTAAAATTTCCTGTGAATGTTATTAATGACACAATAGGACGATGCATTAATTTCAAAGGTAGTGCATTCTTTGCTAGATTACAAAGGGCAATATTCATTTACTGATCAATTGTTGTCAGGAGAGGTAATGGGATAATGTCTGATGGGCCACTGTTTTAGAATAAGGATGAGATTATTTCTTTTCTACTCCCTATTTTCCCTTTATAATTATGAAAAATTGGGTTTTTCAGAATTTTAGATATTTTTTATACTGTTTTCAATTTATCATTTTACTTTGAGAAAGAGGAAGGAAGTGTTGGTGTCAATGAATGTTTAAAAAAATGTGGGGTTTCTTGTTAACAAGAAACACGCTTTTATTAACATTTAATGATATAATTTTAAAAGTTCATTAACTCACAATTTAATTAACTAGAATAATAAATTGTCAGGATTGCCTCTCCAATTCTGTTTTTAGGAAAGGATGCAAATGCCATTTCTAAAAAGCTGGGGGGGGAAATACATGCAACTTCCTGCATATATTTTAGGGATAAAAATAGGATTCAGTAAGATCACTTGTACAGTCCATACTTACAGTACTTTATAATGATCACTTGTTAAGGGGGAGAGGAAGTAAAAACCATGATGCTTGATAATAGGAAAAAAAAAGTGTTCTCTATGGAACTCTTAGCGAAGGAACTGCAGAAGAGTCAACTAACATATTTTAGGAATATTTTTCACTATGAGGTAGTGCTTAATATGGAAAATAATAATGGGTGGGAGGGATATGCAATAAATGTAGGTAGCTATTTTTTATATTACCCTTTAAAAATTTCAGTTAATTCATATTTTGCATTTCATTAGACCTTGGTATATGTGTGGTTAGTACTGAGAATTATAACTGTTCCCTTTCCTTGAACACTGATAATGTGACCAGCTTTGTACTGCCAGGCCTTTGACATGCACCAACTAAAAGCACAACCCTGCAAGGTGCATACAATTACTGTTTAACAGGCAAGGGAACCAAGGACACCAGAAGTTAGGAGACTGACTCAAAGGCCCACAGCCTGTAAGGGAGGGAGCCACTATAAACTGCCTGCCTCAAGTGCCTGAACCCTATCCCACCACAGCATACAGCTTTCTTACAAGTTATATACCTTTACTAACACTATTCAAATAAATGTGTCTCAATAATGAGTTGACTTAAGTCATTTAACCTTTCTAGGCTTCAAGTTTCTCTTGGGTTAGATGGAGTTGACTTCTGTTTTCCTCCAGTTTTAAAAAAGGAACATGATTTGTATACAGATGAGAACATTAAAATGGCCATTTCCACATGTTTTTGTTAATAATGGGTTATTAACACTGAGCTTATTAAATCTTGTGATGGGATCTTTCTAGAGATGTTCATGTGATTTCTCTCAAATCCTTCAGTCCTGCCAGAATTAGTCAGTGATCTTACCATTTTCAATGTTATTCCTTAAGACTTACATGTCAGAGGAAACTTCATACTTTTCTCTGCAGAATACAAACTATTTACTTAAATATTTGTCTCCTAAAGAATCAATGACTTTCAGACATGAATAATGCAAAGAAAATCAGTTTTTGGATCTGAAATTAATCAAAATATCAGTTTATTTTTATTCATACTTATTCAAATATAACAAATTTTTTAATAAATGGAAATATATATAAGCATATTTATAATACAATAGACATAAATATAAATAAAATGTGTAAGTATTTGAGACAAAGTTTAATACGTATTAGTAAATTGATGGCATGCTTACATTTAGCTTTAAGACATATTAACATGGATATTAAAAAGGATGGGCTTTCACAAAAACTGCTATAAAATGTTCACATTTGTGTTAGTAATAAGTCATATTTCTTAGACTGATGTTTTAAGAAAATTATGTCAAGATCTAATTTAACCATTTACCTCATATGGTAACATTATTTATAAATGACACATTTTTTTTCAACAGAAATGTTCCTTTATCTTTTAAATAACATAGCATTTTTTATCAAGAACATGCCACATTTATTAAACAAACATGCACAACTCATTAAAATTTGAATAATTTATGTACCTTTATGCACAGTGTTCAGTTTTGCTATAGCACTCTATCTTTGTGAAAAATATTCTAAATATTTGGCACAGAATTAATAAATTGTACTATTTCAGAACTAATGTGATTAAAATTTTACATGGCACAGAAAACGCTCTATCACAGTTTACCTCTTCCTTTGCAGTTTATTGACCAATGGTCATTCTTTTCTGTTTTAGTTGTAATAAACAATGGATATTCAATAGCTAGAAGTCATATCTAGGTCTTTTGCCTATACCAGTGATGGCGAACCCTTTGAGCTCGGCGTGTCAGCATTTTGAAAAACCCTAACTTAACTCTGGTGCCGTGTCACATATAGAAATTTTTTGATATTTGCAACCATAGTAAAACAAAAATTAATATTTTTGATATTTATTTTATATATTGAAATGCCATTTAACAAAGAAAAATCAACCAAAAAAATGAGTTCGCGTGTCATAGGTTCGCCATCACTGGCCTATACTCTAATTAGAAATGAGTTGACTTCAGTTTTTCTAGCAGTAAAGCATTTCCATTTGTATTATGGCCAATAAATTTCTAACTAAGGGTGTTAGCGATAATGTATCATTATGAGATGTTTTTCGTTGGGAGGCAGAGAGGTTGAAAGGAAATGTGGATCTCTTCCTGAACTGCGACCCTGTGTGGTCAGGAGCATCGATGCCCTCTGAGGCAGAAGCAGAGAGAGTTCTTGGGGAAGCTGATGAGGGAGCACACTCGGTAGAAGCATCCAGGCAAAAACAAAGGCAGGAACGCACTCAAGGTGCAAAGGACTGCCATGGGTGTAAGGAAACTGAATGCATCACTCAGAGAAACAGCGGCCAGAGCATTCTTGTATCAGCAAAATCCCCCTGCTTTTTAGGAAAAGTTTTCCATTTCCACATCGGTGTCTATATCAAGAATGAAGAAATTAAGCTAACTGGCACAATTTTTTTTTGTCCCCTGAACTTATTCATAGACACTGGAAGAAGAAAGAGAATATGAACTCAAGCTTCCCCTAAACCAGAGAAGAGCATTCACACTCCCTCTCAGGGCAGACTTCAGACTTGTGGTAACCAAGGAAAATGCCATCGCTCTTTTTCACAGTTCTGCTAAGATCAACTTGAGGTGTTATATTTTGAGAGCCTGGTTGAAGGAATCTACTCCTTTCATAAAACTCTGATTACCTAATTTTTATATTTATTATTTGGCAGAAAGGAAGTAGAACTTAAGCTCAGTTTTTATACAAATGTACTTTATTCTGAAAAACAGAGCAATGAACATACTTTATGATCCTTGCTTTTCTGAGGGCATTTAGACAGTGAAATGGCAAAGAACATCAAACACGTTAAATACAATGGCAAACTTTTTTTTAAAGCTGTTAAGGTACAAATATAAAAACTATGAATCACAGAGCACTGAATTTTCAAGAGTAAAATCATACCAAAACCGTGATAAGTTTTCGCCGATGTCACAGGTGAGCAGGTGGTCTGGAAGGTCACTGATGGTGCCCTGCACGGCCAGCACGTGCGGGGCCAACGTGAAGGGCACGTCGCTCAGAAGCTCGGCCATGAACGAGCTGCTTTCCAGAGGCTGGCCTGCCTTGGTTTCCGCCCCGGGGCCTGCCACAGTCACAATGGATGCGTTTTCTGTGCCAGTCTAAAAATACATATATTCAAATCATTCAGACCTATGGCCTCGGGGGTTCAGTAATGGTAAATGTGCATGAATGTAGCAAAATGGAGAAATGGGGGAACATGTAAGTATTCCCAGATCAGAATGTAGCTATTTGCTTTACTTGTACATAGAGCTCTACTAGCTTTAGAATGGATCCTAAACCCTACTCTTACCACCCATAACCCCCTCTTGCTATTTCTCTAGCCCAGTAATGTCTACAAAGTCTGTCTGCTCTGCCAAACATGGTGTATGTTTTCAGGGTCTACAGAATTGCCAGAGTCCCTGTGAAACCATATATCAACACAGTCCAAAGTGACCGTGCCCACTTCAGAATGATTATGGAGCAAACTGCCTAGGATATTATTTCGCATTTCCTATATATGTGTCCTTTCCAGTTGCTGTTTCACATGCATATGTCTTATCCCCAACTAGAGTTGAGGGTCCTTGAGAGCAGCAATCTAGTTGACATGTCTTTGTACTCTCTGCCTTGCATATTCGATTGTCTCATTCTAATACCTACCTGAGAGTTTACTTCTAATGTGTGTCATGCTTATTGACTGATTGTCTGACTTTCATAGGAACTAACATGTTACTTAAGTTATTGAGATATAAAGAGTTAGTAAACCATGCATACAGTAGTTGGCTAAAAAACGTGCAGTAGGGTGTTTATAGCAGCATTCTATGCAAGCCCTTAAAGTAGAAACTAAGTTTCCATCAATAGTACAATGGATAAATTGAAGTATATTTACAGCAATGAGAATGAACCACCTGCCACTGAAAGTGGCTGAAACCGAAATAAAACCAGTTTAGGCAAAAATTTACTCTCCCACCACCACCTGGTCTCACACAGAATAAAACTCTGGAGTCTTTACAGAGGCCTACAAGGCCCTGGTGACCTGGCCCCAGTGCCTCACTGCCTCCTTGCTATTGCTCCTGTGCACCCAACCTGCTTCTGCCCCAGGCCTGTGCTTTCTAGTCCCGCTACCCAGGAGGTTCTGCTGCCAAATACCCATTGGGCCCCTTCTCCCACCTCCTTCCAAGTGTTGGTCCAAATGCCACCTTCTCAATAAGGCTTTCCTGACCATCTTATTTAAACGGTGTCCTAACCCCCTCCTCTCCCCTCCAGCACTCTCTATCTCCCTCCCCTGCTCTTTTACCCTACATGGCCCTTAGCACCTTGTTCTATGTCATATACTTTATCCTCATTATAATCCATCAGAAATGTAAGGGGCTCCCTGCTGTATCCCAAAATGCCCAGACCAGTGCCTAGCGCTCAGTAAATATTTATTGGTTGGATGCGAGCAGACAAGATTTTGCCTGCGTGGGGTTTACATTATCAGGTTAAAATGCTGATAAATTCCTTATCTCTAAGTCTAGAGAAGAATGATTTTCTGTGTAAGAAATAATTTTGAAAAACTTTTTATGGAAGTGTAAAGTACATACAGAAAGGGTACATTAAAAGTTTACAGTTTGCTAATTTTAACCAACTTAGACACCTGTGAGCACCCAGAGCAAGGGACAGAAATGACAGCCCCTGCCCGCCAGCGCTTTCTGTTACCATCCTGACTTCTAACAGCATAGATTGGTTTACCTATTTTGTATTTAAATGAAGGTAATCCTATAGTATGAACTCTTGTTTCTGGCTTCTATATAGGAGATTCGTCCATATTGTTGCATGGGATAAAAAGAGCATATCATCACAAAGGAGGTACATTCAGACTGATGACTTAACAGGATCACTTTGGTTGCCGTATTGACAGTAGGTAGTGGGGTCTGGCGTCCAGGAAAGGAAGTAGATAGATTTAAAAAGTGAGCCCTAACCAGTTTGGCTCGGTGGGTAG